TATTTTCATCCTTCATAAATAATGCATATCTTTTTTAAAAGTGTGGGTGTCAAAATGATTGTTTTTGGCACAGAATATTGTAGGAATAATCGATTTCAATTTATTTTTCTTAGAATATTGTGCAGTTTGGAATAAACCATGTAAAGATGGAACTGAGAAACCTCTCCCCTCCCCCCTACTCACCTTAGTTTTGTCCTTTTGACGTACTCAAGGTTGATGTAATCAAACGCCTTATCAGGGGACTACTGTATCTATTTTACGTCACAGTAATAGAACGTGAGTAGATTCTTACTCGATAGGCAAATGTTACAAAATCAATGAGGTTTTTGGTTTTGTCTCACCAATAGAAAGCGCTTTCGTATCATACATATCTGATGCGAACATTAGTTTTAATTACCTTGAGATAACTTGGATAAGATGTCCAATTCAATAGAAGTACTGTATAATAAATTGATGATAATTAAGAATAGACTGCATTTGAAACGTGAGTTTAACACGTAGTTTTCACACACGATGTGAGCACTTTCATCTTCATCTGAAATGGTAAGTTCTCAACAAGTTTAATCGCGAGTAATTCCTTGAATTGCTATCATTTTTAAAATATTAGTGTTGTGTTTTTCGAATTCAACAACTAAATAATAGTCAAAACCAAAATTGAAGTCCACACGATATTCATGATATTGAAATGTTACAGCAAATTCTTATTTACTGCAAAAAATTGCCGAAAATGTTAGGAAATATTTTTTTTTTTCTTTTTCTTTTCCTGAAAAATATTTGATAGTCAATCTTTGGTCTTTCCTGAAAATGCGAAGCATGAAGCCGCCTGGCTTTGAGATGGTTATAACGATGTCTGAGAACAGAACGTTGGTGACAAAAGACATGAATAACACAATACATGGAATAAAACGTAAGTAGAGAAAACTAGTTGATGTGGTACAAGTAAAGAGGTAGGTATTCTTGTTTGTTTATTCTTAATTTTCTGCTGGTGATGATGATGATGATGATGATAAATGATTATGATTATGATGATGGTGAGGGTGGTGATGATGAGGGTGGTGATGATGATGGTGATGATGATGAGACATGATGATGATGATGGTGATGATGAGGATGATAATAATGATGATGGTGATGATGGTAATGATGACACTTGATAGCAATGATGATACATGATGATGACGATACATGATGATGATACATGCTGATGATGATACATGATGATGATAGATTCTGATGATGGTACATGATGGTGATGCATGATGATGATCGACGATGATGATAACGATGATGATGATGGTGAAGATGATGCTGATAATGATAATGACGGTGATACAAGATGATGATGATGGTGATGGTACATGATAATGATGATGATACATGATGATGATACATGATGATGATGATGATTGATGATGATACATGATAATGATGATGATTGATGATGATACATGATGATGATGATGATGATGATACATGATGATGATACATGATAATGATGATGATTGATGATGATGATGATGGTGGTGGTGGTGGTGATGATGATGATGATGATGGTGGTGATGATGATGATGATGATGATACATGATGATGATGATGATACATGATAAAGATACAAAATTATAACCAACGATTACAAGTCGATAACATTTATATTTTTCTATCGTTTCCATAGCAACCAAATTAATTCCCTGTTCCTTGGAAAAGAACACGAACATCATGATTATTGCCGGCGTCGTTATAGTAACATGGATCATGATATTTCTATTCGTGTTGAAAAACATGGATAAAATGAGAAGGAAGAGAAAGAGGAGAGGAAAAATGGGAGAACTAGAAGAAATGATAGAAGACTTATATAGAAAGCGTGAAATATGACAACCATGGAGGAAATGGGAGAAATGAACGATAGGAAAAATGGGAAGAGTAGCTGTATTCTGGAGAATACTACCAACAACATCATATAATATCATATATCTTGTACCGTCTCTTATCTACAGCTCTATCAATACTTCATGACAAGCTTGTTGAGTGCTTTTTGAAATACAATCTAATCGTATCTCTTCGAAGATTTTATACCGTCCAAAATGAGATACAACACCGAAGAGGTTTTTAAAAACTCTCTCATTCTGCACGATGATTTCTGAAATAACACGTACGAGAGCTTGGAATCAGAAGAACTTGGTAGACGTTGCTTACAGTTTATACCTCGTGTGGTATAAGAAGAATATTTTAAAATCTAGTTTTGTTTTATAGTTTTTCATGTCGTTGCTTTTCAAGTTCTTTGCTCTTTTTTGCGTTCATCTTGTCCATATTCTTTAAAGCTGCAAGGAACGCCATTAACCAAACAACGATGACCAAACCGACGATAACCATTACTGCAGTGTTTTCAGCAAACTTCTGTCTTAGAAGATCTAGAAATAATATAAAAACCCTCAAGCATGACGACGCTTTATACCAACACATCCAAAATTCCTTGCTTAGGCTGCGTTCATAATAAATGACAGAGGGAGGGGGGGGGGGG